CTGAAACTAATCGCTCCTTGCTTGCATTCACTGGTTTATTGGAGCAATTGTAAAGTCTTGAAACTCTATAATCTTCTCTGAATAGAGTTTGCAGTGCCTTGTCATGCAAATAGCTTACTTGCAAGGAACGTTTGGAATTTTTACGAACATTATTTTTAGTTTTTAATGCTTTTAGGAAATAGACTTGCCTAGATTTAATCTTTATGCCCCAAATATTATTTACATCGGAGTTGCATCATAAATTGTACTCGGATTCAAACGACACAATGTCAATGACTTTATAAAAATAAAAGCATATTGTGTATTGGCCTATTGGGTTTACACTTTTACAGGTTCATTTAACTTTAACTCTCTCAAGTCTCAACAGACAATCGGACATGCCAAATCCATTGATATGACAACTTCAAAAAACTTTTTCGAAGCTAGAAATCATGATTTTTTCAAATTTTTCCTGGGATACTTTGTTTTCTGCTCTCTAGACTTCCCCTCGCGGCTCTATAGTGCTCCACCCCTAGAATATAGACCTTACTGAGGTTTGGTGACACTTTGTGTTGCTTCAGTCACCTGCTCACGGCTCACCCCCCTAACTGAATTTCTGGCACCACCATAGTAAGAAATATGAAAATCCGTCTATGTTTCACTTCACGGGTAAAAACTATGGATTGTTGTTGAAAAACAAAGTAAAACTAGTCTCTAATTATTAGCGGCTGTTTTTCAGTTGCGTCCGCATCACAGATTTGGTGAATCTTAGGCTATGTTTACATTGTATCGGATCACTTTGCGTCCGACGCAAAAACCATACCGGATAGGGCTTCTGTTTACATATGAAATGTTGTTATCGTCTCAATTTCTGCAACGGACCGGTGGTGCGGCGGTTCGCTCTTCGAAGTGGTGCGCGATGTATCGGATCGCTTTTTGCAACGCTCTCATTGTAATGTAAACACAAATCGGAGCAATTTTCGGTTCAATACGTGACTCAAGATGGCATCTGGGAAACAAAGACTTGCTTTTCTAATCTTATTTGCGGGTATAGCTTGCTCACTTATAATATTTTTGTATTTAGATGGGCGAGGACGGAAGCTGTTTACACTTGGGCCGTAACGTTTCGTGAACGAAGCAAAAACCGATCCGATACAATGTAAACATAGCCTTAAGCTCCTATATTATTAGAGTACGGAAGACTCCACATGATGATATATTACTACTATTTATCATACATAGCTCACGAGGTACAATTATACCAGTAGACAATACTACCTGCTTTTTCAAACGACAATCCAATAAACCAGCGGCTAATACAACAATCCTTGTCAGGACTTAGAGGTGGGTAGTGGTTTGGATTAACGTGAGCAAGTTCAATATATGGTTTGTTTTCCAGTTGACCGACCAGCAGTCTTACTTTAGATTCAACCAAACCAACCCTGAAAACATATCCAAACAGGCCTTGAAATTAGCAAACAATAGGGTCGGCAGTTTGACAACCTTGAACGAAAATAGATCAGCAAACTTTTATTTTTTAACAAAATGCGCATATGCTGTAATATTAACAACTCTGAAACTCTATTGAAATAACTCTTAGGGCGCTTTCCATTTAATGGCCTGACCAGTCAGACCCAAACTCTTTTCTCTGTATCAATGGAAATATCTGGTCTATGTTTCTCAAATATCTAGTGAAAATGGACCTCACTCTAATGTTATCTAGATTTCCTGGTCAGATTAACCTGAAGTTCAGGCCCTATTCTGTGATTAGGGCCTGAACTTCAGGTTACGGTCAGATAGGTCCGAAGCCCAAATGTTTTGTGTTCCATTCAACATTTTGACCGTTCTGACCGGTCTGGCCGTGTTAATGGAAAGCGCCCTTAGATAATTTTATCATATACTTTCCATATGTAGAGGATGGAAGAAGTAGTAGAGGAAGATTCTGCACTTGCTTTTCCTGTTTACTCTACATTTGCAACTCATGCAAGCTCATTGCCATCCTGACATGACAATACGTCAGCAACCAGGTTGGCATTTGCCAATTGCAAACCTGAATTGTGAGATATGTGCAAAGTGAACATGCATCAGTCATCTGATACTTTATTTAACTCATTGAACGCCACCACTCTCCCTTTGATGAGTAAATTTAATCTAGTGTTATAGTAAAATAATATTATAAAATAACACGTATATAACGCGTGCTCTGACTGGTCGGAACCCGTGTTTGATCAGGCCATCCAAACACGGAAATTTAAAGTGCCTTCACGGGAATTTTAAACATGTCTAACTTTGTTGTTATTTTATAAAACAATTACTTTATGGTTTCCGTGTTTGGATGACCTGATCCAAACACTTGGGAATGTTGCTCGAGTTAAGAAAAGCGCGCAAAATCACTCGCCTTCGGCAGGCTTCGGCTCGTGTTTCGCGCAGTAATTGTATAAAGTGGGCTACATTAAGGCCCAATGCAACTTAATGGATTACTGTAAAGTGTACAACTAAAGGTAAGATACCATTTTATATGATCTTCCTCATTGGCAGACATAGCACTGAGAACTATGTAATGTCTAAAAGAAGAATAAAAAAAGAATAAAAAAGAGTAAGATTTCTACAGTGCAAACTTACATGTGGATAAGATCAAATGCGCCTTACATCAAGTATTACGCTTATCTTTACTAATTATAACTAGCCTTAGCTATCTTATATTTTACAACAATTGTGATATTACTTTCATAACAATGTTTATCCTAAGCCACCCTGTCAACTTTCCCTGTGGGAGGAAACCAGGGTCTTAGCTAGGATTTTAGATCTTGGGCGTGTTTAGTCTAAATGACCAGGGCGTGCACATCACGGTTCTAGTTATGCTCGCCAACAACAGACAATACCTGTAGTTGTTCTATGCTTTGCAACCAAATACAAGGCGAGTATACGCTCATATTACGCACTGACATTAAAATATTAAGTTTTTTTCAGCAACTCTTGGGGGTATTTAAAACCATTTAACACCATACAGTTCCCATTATCCACCAAAACATTAAAACATCACATGCAGATCACTTTCGCCAATTTCAACAATAACCATAGATTTTACAAACTTTCTTACAACGTACAGTGAATAGGAAGAAATTCTGTCTGTTATTTTATGAACCTACACAGCCTTATATAAATAATGAATGAATTTAAATGAATGAATGAATGAATTTAATTTGATTTGACACCAACATTACAAAAAAATAAATAAGCTTGTAAATTACATGCATATACTGTATATATAAATATTATAGAACTGTTATATAATAGTTAGATATTTAAATAAGATAGATAAGTTATATAAATAAGTATAGTTCGATAAGTAAATTTTGTTCAGTCATCATGTTGGTGACAAGGAAGCCTAAGACGAAACCACAAGGCTTATAGGAGTTTAGGCTCCCTTTTAAATGAGCACAACATATATAAACACAAAGGGGAATCAGACGTTTAGAGCATATGAAATTATTTTACCAGTTTCATAATATAAATGATGGCTATATTAGATATTTTAACATTCTATTCCTGAAGCAACTTAAAGTCTCTGAATTTTTAATGTTTTCCGGAGGGGAATTCCATTTTTGGGGTCCTTGGAACAAAATAGTAAACTTCTTTATGTTTGTACGACATGTATGAGGTCGATATGCATTTGCATTTCTAGTGTTGTAAGAGTGCATGTGACGACTAGTAATGAAAATATTGTGAAATGAAGATGGAAGTAAATTATAATGATAGCAATACATGAATTTAACAATGTATAAGAAATTAATTTTATAAATATCAAGCAGATTCAGCCGATAAAACAGTGGCGCAGTATGTGCTGTAAAGTCAGCGTTTGTCAAAGCTCTAACAAGTCGTTTTTGGATTAAAAATAATCTTTTTACATTTGTGACATAGGTAGAAGACCAAATGACGTTGCAGTAGGTCAGATATGGGTAGATCAAGGTATAATATAGGGATAATTTAGTTTTCATAGACAATAGAAAACGTGATCTATAGATTATGCCGGTGGATTTTGAGACTTTTTTGCAGATGTGATCAATATGAAATTTCCATGAAAGATTTTCATCTATAAAAACTCCAAGGAACTTGACCACTCGTTTTTGCGTAAGCTTATTTTCATTAAACATGAGCGGTATCATAATAGTTTTTAATTTCTTTTGTTTTGGTTTAAAAATAACGTAGTTTGTTTTCTTGGTATTAACTGACAATTTATTCGCCTTCATCCACAAGCTAATACTACTCAATTCTTGATTTAAGACAGTAGCTAACACAAGTGGATCAGAATGTGAGTAGTAAATACTTGTATCATCTGCAAATAATAATGGTTCCGCTAATCGCAAGGCATTCGGAAGGTCATTAATATATAGAATGAAAAAGAGTGGTCCTAATATGGAACCTTGAGGAACGCCACATTGAATAATCTGTTTGGAAGAGGAAACATCATGCTGTACAAATTGTTCACGATTTTCAAAATAGCTTTTAATCCACTGTAATGCCACACCACGAATGCCATAACGTTCAAGCTTAGAAAACAATATTTGATGATTTAATGTGTCAAATGCTTTAGACAGATCTACAAAAACACCGGCTGTAATTTTATTTTGATCAATAGCAGTTGCAATCTTGTTAGTCAAATGAATTAAAGCAAAATTAGTTGAATTATTTTTACGAAAACCAAATTGATAACAATACAATATTTCGAACTTTTCAATAAATTCAATTAGTCGATTGTACATTACCCTTTCAAAGATCTTCGAAAAGTTTGATAGAATTGAAATAGGTCTGTAATTATTAAAAAGTTCTGGGTCATCGGCTTTATAAATAGGGATAACTTTAGCCGTTTTTAATTTGTCGGGGAAAATACCATTCTCAAGAGAGAGGTTAATTATACGCATTAATGGTTCAGAAATGAATTGAAAAGAGCCTTTAATAAGCTGCATTGGGATGCCATCAGCACCAGGTGCCTTCCCAACTTTAAGAGACATGCAGATTTTATACAGTTCAAGAAAAGTGATTGGTCTCAAAAATATTGTTTCTTTGACATGAGGTCCAAGAAAATTTTGAAAAGAAACATTTACTGTCGGGATTTTACTTGCAAGATTTGGTCCAACATTTGTAAAGTATTTGCAAAATCCATTCGCAATTTCTAAAGGGTCAGAAATTATTTTGCCGCCAGATTTGAAAGAAGATGGCGGGGAATGTATTTTCTTATCTTTATTAATGACCTCATTAATTAGCCTCCAGGTTTCCTTTAAATTATCTTTCGCTTGTTCGAATTTATTGTCATAGTAAGAACGCTTGGCAATTCTAATTAAATGGTTTAATTTGTTTTTATAAGTTTTGTATTGTGATTCACGAGCGGGAGTTGTATTTTTAATTAGTTTTTTGTAAAGTCCATTCTTCTTCTTAATGGAAACTAATAAACCTTTCGAAATCCAAGGGGTCATTGACTTATTTGAACGATTTAGTTTAATTTGTTTAAGAGGAAAACATTCTTCAAAGTGTGTGTTGTATTCTGATGCAAAAGCATTAAATTGAATGTTAGGGTCCTGTCCTACCACAACATTTGACCAGTCCACCTGTGATAAGCTAGTGTAGAAATTAGTAAGATTTTCTTCTCCAAAGTCTCGCTTATATAAGCTCTTATCACTTTTTTTACAAGGAAGAGACACATTATTACAAAATGCAAAAACGGGTAGATGATCGGAAATGTCATTGAGAATAATCCCGCTCTGAGTGTTTTGTAAATTTGCAAATGAATTTGTAAATATGTTGTCAATTAATGTAGCAGTGTGTGAAGTTA